CCCCAAAACCCCAAAACCCCAAAACCCCAAAACCCCAAAACCCCTTTAGAGCCCAAAGTTATTGAATAAAAGTAATAATTAATTGGAAAAAAATGGACCAAACTGAGCTTAAGGAGTTTGAAACCCTTGCGAATGCTATTGCGAATCCGTCGGCGGCAGGATCGAGCAGTGGGGATTATCAGAAGGCTAACGAGGCCTTGAATGCGTATACTTCTGTACTGGACAACTGGGATAAAATACAATCGGTGTTGCAACTGACTCAAGATCCTAATGCATTATTTTTTGCTGCAATTTCATTGAAGAATCTTTTTGCAGACAATTGGACGAAAGTTTCAAAAGAGAAGAAAATTGATATTGTAAGCTTCTGCATTGAATTCCTCAAAGAAAAAGGTCCAGATTGTAAAAGAGAAGTACTTAATGCTGTTATCATGCTTATGGTTAAGGTAGCCAAGCTTTCATGGTTCGACGACCAGAGTCACCAAGATTCAATCAAAATGATTCTTGGATTGCTGGGACTCAGCATTGGGCACTGTTTCATTGGAGTATTAGCTCTTGAGCAAATGATTATTGAAATGACATATATTAACAAAGGCAAAACTCTCATTCAGAGCAGAAGAATCTCGGTCAGTTTTAGAGACAAGTTTCTACTTTCTATCTTTGGAACAGTGATATCCCTTTTGAATGAGCTTCAGCCAAAAATTTCTGCTAATAATTCTGGGCCTGACTCAGAAATTATCAGACAGGCTTTGTTCCATTGCTGCTCATTGGCTCACAAATGCTTGAACTTTGAATTTCTTGGAGTTCTATTAGATGAAACAATTTTAGAATCAATTGGAACCCATTTTCCGTTAAGTTGGAGAGACACAATAGAAAACTTTGACAACACAAAAGCCTTCTTTGCTATAGTTCAAACTCCCACACTTACAGAAGACACTTACATTTTGGCTCTTCAATCTCTGGGAGAATTAGCCAGCTGAAGAATCACTATTTTTGAAAATGCAACTAAAAGGAAAGAGTTTGTCCATAATTTTGCAAGAAGTCTCAGCGAGCTAATTAAGAACCAATCAGAGTTTTTCTGATCTTCAAGATCAATATCAAGGCACTACATCAAACTATTCCACAAGTTTGAAATGAATTTTCAAGTCCGTTCTTTTGGTCCTAAAAGTGATGATGGAAAGCTGGCCTTGCGTAACTACTTGTCTGATCTAGCTGAGTTCACTATTCTTGTCATCAAGAGCGGACAGAGTTATCTAAGAGAAATTGCCATATATTTGCTTGCGACTTGGAACAGAATCAACATTGAAGCAAAGAGCGAGCCTGGTATTTCCACAAAGATCCAAGAAATTGTAGTTACTTTTATAGAACAAAGTATTTCTGATTTGAGTGACGACCAAGAGGAAGAAGATGATGAACACTTCAACGAGAAAGAACTTAAAAATCTCACACAACGATTTGAGACTATAGCGATCACCTGCGATATTCATATTAGTCCTGTTTACAACTGTTTAAACGAAGGGCTAACTTTCTTGATGGAGAGATACTCTCAAGAGCTCGAGAACAACAACCAAGAACTTCTTGAACTTATTGAAAAGAGATTCGCTTGGGTTATCAGAGTAGTCTGAGCAATGATGAATCGAGGGTTTGCGCCAAAGTACCCTGCTCCAGATTCTAATGAGCCAAAACCTGAAGGACAGGATGAATGAGATGCTTGAATAAAAATCATTGATATCATCAAAAAGAATGTAGAACTGAATCTTAGCCAAACTCACAAAATGAGCGAATTATTCGAGTTAGCAGCACTTAGTTTCATGTCAATATTCAGATCTAGCATCTTATGAGACGCTAGAGTTATTGCAAAATGAATATCTGAAGATCAAGAGGAAACCACTTTTAATACAGGATGAAGTTACTTAAGGATAGCAGGAATCTTTGACTCTAAGGACATTCTCGGAGTTGTTGAGATATTCTTCAAGAAAATTATCCTAAACTTGTTCACTGAGTCAAAGCCTATTATCGAACAAAATATTTCCATGATGAATACTTTCGTACAATCAAGTGAAACTAGAAAGTACTTGATGGCTCTAGAAACTACTCAAGACTTGATGGAGAACCATTTTACAAAATATGCTGTCTTAAATACTCTAGAGACTGTGATATACCTCAGAAAATTTTACAAAGTGCTTAGTATATTTTGGGAAGTAAATGATCATGTTGATAATTTCTACAATTATATGAAACCAGTCACAGAGTTCATCCGAAACTTGCTTGAGCAATCTCCCTCAGACCTAGCACTGAAGAAAGAAGACATTTTAAGAGCCTTAGAGATTTTGAATGGAGTTTCATGTGGGTTCAAGCAACCAGAGGCTTTCAACAAGTTTTACATTTGGTTCAACCAAGGCCCAAGCAAGATCATACATTTGGTATTCGAGAATTTTTGTGACGATAAAATTATTCTAAAGAGTGCTTTCAGGTTGATGAAAAGTCTGCTTGATAACTCCTCTTCTAGATTCAAACCCCAATTCTGTTACATCAATGGGTTCATGATGTTCAAAGAGTTTTCGGAAATAATAATGCAATATTTCAATTACGTCAACATGTACATCGGAGTGCAGATTACTGGAGATAAGTATGATGACAAGTATGAATTCATTAACCTTGGCATCTGAATTCTTGGAAACCTGATTGCAGGCAACTACATCAATTTTTCAATTCTGGAATACTACAATGACACTACTTTTATTGACTTGTGTAAGGTGATTATGACCTTGATCACCACTCAGGACCATGGAGAACTCGCTTCATTTAAAAGTTTGTGCAAAAATAGTTATAAAATAATGGAAGATTTCTTGAAGCATCATTCTGATATGATGGTCAGACACTTTGAACCCTCACTCACAATCAAAGTGATCGAGTTCATTCTTCTTGGACTGATGACTGAAAATAATAATAAGGGAAGATGCTGTAATGCTTTGAGAGATTTGATCTCTCATATTTATGCTTCTCGGAATATCTTATTGAAAGAGATTGAAGAAATTCTTAAAATTGAAGAACCAATTTTTAAAGAAATCCTCAAAACTCTTTTGACAACTGTTATTTATGAAGAACATAAAGTAATTTGGGTATTTCAAAAACCCTTGTTTCCAACTATCGTCCTGAATGGAAGAGAAAATTATGAAATTGTTAAGAACGAAATAATCTCTAATGAAACAAGCCCAGAATTAAGATCCAAAATAGACGAAGAACTATCTCAACTATGCAATGACGTATTCATCGACTCTAGCATCGACTACGAGCATGGCTCTCCTAACGAAATCAGCCTAAGCAAGGCCAACAAAGACAAATTCACTACCAACTTCTCAAGGTTTAAAAACAGTTTAATAAAGTTCAAATAATTTGATATTTACCAAACCCACTTAAAAACCTCACCTCTTCCCGCATTCTTCCACCCTTTCAGCCCCTAAATCTCTTCACAGCTTCACTTCCTAGTCTATTTTCTCTAGAATCCTTCACAGAGCAGATCTCTTCTTCCTGATCTTGTGCAGGCAGGAGCTCAAAGGAGATTTTGGTGGAGACCAGTGAGGGTAATAGGCTTTGGGTAAAATTGATGGTTTAGTGTAGAATTAGTCAAAGGTTTAGCTATAAAGCGTTTATTAGAACTTTTGGAGCTTAATTCGAAGGGATTTTGAATGAAATTAATTGATTCTTGCTGCCTCAAATTTTATAGGATTTAGGACCTGGTAAAGCATGTTTCATATACTTTCTGTCCGCTAATAGTATTGGGTTTGGCTATAAAACAGCTCAAGCATCATTTGTTTTATTGTATCTCATTTATCTCAATACTAAATGCCAAAAGAATTATCAGAAACCTTAGGTTCTGGGTTCATAATTTCCTGGTTTCAAACCTTTTAATTCAGTTTGGGGTTTTGGGGTTTTGGGGTTTTGGGG